GGGCTAGGGGCGCGGAGACGCGTGGGCTTGCGCATGCGCATGATGCGCCGATTCCCCGTGGAGTGACTCTTTACGCGCGTCGCCGCCGTAATTGGTCGTAAACGGGAGGCGAATGCGGATAGCGCCCGACGGCCTGTGGTCAATCGTGGTGTGACGCGCAATTGCCTCTGTGACTGTGAATCTCGAACCCGCCGTGCATTCCGCAAACTGCATGTCACAGACGGTAGGTTGAAACCGGGGAAGTGAGTTACTGTGAACTGGAATGATATTGGGATCATTAAACACGAATGAAATGGGAGGGGATTGAATGATTGTTTTGTGTTGCCGGGAGCGATAACAGCTGTCTTCATTAGTCTCGTTAGTGTAGGTATGTTAAATCCCGGGAGGTTAAAGTATTCCTCCAACCACCAGAATAGAATATCCGGCACAGACCTGCACGTTCTCTTCCGCGTTTACCCTCTTCAGATACCTCCGCCAGCGGGGCACCGCCCCAACCAGGACAAGACTTAAGCTGCCGACTGGTCTCCTGACATGTGTAGTATGTACTGCATGTCACAGACAGTAAGTTAGTCACTGTCAGTGGATTAGTATATCACAGTAGGCAGTAGGTGTGTGTAAGAGGAGAGGACGGGGCAAGGATGAGGATGAAAATATTACGCGCGGTCTGAGCTTGTTTATTAAGACACTGCTCCGGCATTCACATGGTATTGTTCGGATAAACCAAAGAAATCTTCCGATCATAGCAGCCGGCCGCTAGGATTAACATCCAAACAGTTATTGATACAGAATGCAGGTACAGGATTACCTGAATCAAACTTTTTTATGCAAATACGTTATATATTTGTAATTGTATATTTGTTCAAATAAATCTTATATATCATTACATCGCCTCCCGAAAAACAGTTTGAGCCAAAACTTGGGATTCAAGATCCCAAGTGTCAAAACTTGGGATTCAACTTGACTTCCCAGTCAGCAATACTCAGGAAGCAAAGGTGTTGCCACACAGCCAACGCAGCCGGCGCGGTCCACCGATTGCCTTGTCGAGCTGATAAACCTGATTTTTTCCACGATATTTTCTCGCAAGCTTTAGCTTCATAAAAAAAGAAAAAAAGATTTCTCGTCACGCGAAACCTCCACCAACGTCGGTCGCCCTTCGGCTGAGCCGAGCTGCTAAAGCATTTCGCCACATCCTCCCGGAGCTTCTTGTCATGGCTTCCGCCTCCGGCCCTCGCATCTCCCTTCCCCCTCCCGTCGCCCCAAACTTCGTCACCGCCGTCGCCAACGTGACCTTCCTCCACCTCAGCTCCCGTGCCCTCTCGACCTTCGCAAAGTGAATTTCCCCCCTCAAACCTCGAACACCTCCCGCAGCCTCGCCGTTGGGATAAAGGATGGGAAATGAAGATCTTCGTGTTGCCGCCGAACAAAATTCACCAGCTTAACTTATTCTTTACTTTACTCGTCACGATTGGCATTGCGGCAGACCTATTAACGAACGCTATCGATTAAAAAAGTTGAGAATTTTAAGGAGGGGTAAATAAATAAATTGGTGAAATTGAGATTGTTAGATTTTGAATGGCATCGGCTGTTGTTGGCTGTTGTTCGGCTGTAGAATGTTTCTACGAGAAAGATTATAGAACACGACGATTATCATTCACTTGGAAAAATAATACCAGCCAGATAAAAGAATACCGACAAACGATACTGGAAATCAACAGAAAGTTAAGATTGTTTGAAATTGGCAGATTGTTTTAAGTTACTTTTCCTTTGAGAAAAATTTACACGAAAAATACTTCGAACTTTTTTGGAAATACAGAAAATTCACCGAAACTGAGATTAATATCATTTTAATAACCGTATTTTTCTCTATTCTGTAATAAATTAAAGAAAATATTTGGAATTGTAAAGTATTCCCCAAAATAAAAATATGCGTTTAAAATTGGAAGTAATTTACTTCATGAAGGAACAATTTTCCACTTTTTCGGAATAAGAGCTCCACAATAAGAGTTTTTGACAGAAAGTCTCGTTTATTGGTGCAGCATTAACATTATCTGCCTTTACTACGTACAAAGTATGGGAGCAAATAAAAATAAAAATGGTGATTTTTTTAAAGTTAAAGGACGATCAAATGTGAAAGGAGAGTGGCTGTAAGTAAGCATGTCATACTTACGTGGCTGGTAGCACTAGATTATTCAGGGGCATGATGCCTTAATTGAGCCAAAAATTACCATGGGATATGCTCCTATATAAACCACAAACCAAAAAAACATTGAAGAGTTAGGGATGCGTCCTCCGTCTCCTCCAGTGGTGTCACCCATACCGGCAGATACATTACCGGCAGTCTTTTTATTACCGATTTTTTAAAACTTCATGTATGATGATTCTGTTGAGAGATTACAATTGAATCAAGTAAGGTGATCTACTTCATCATTATGTACAGAGGAGTTACTTACAGAAGGGACCGCTTTGTCAGCCACTGCTTGACTACTAATGGAAATATAACCGCAGGTTAATGCCCATGCACTCATTTTGTCCGCGCGTTCGCTTACAGTTACTCATGTGTAAATGGCTTCATCCCTGCCTCTTGGAATATTATCACCCTTCATGTCGTTCATATGTTTCCTGACCTGCCGAAGTGGTCGCTTCTTATAGTAACTCCTCTATACCTAATGATGACGTAGATCACCTAACTTGGTTCATCGCATTTCCAGCGTTCAGCGTACCACCAACACTATGCACGTAACACCCCTTGTTTCGTGACTGCCATTCCCACTAGAAGCTTCGAGGCTGAAAATGCGTCGCGCGGTGCAGCAGCGCTGTATGATAAATGGCTGCGGTGTCAAACGGGCGCGTGCATTTCAACTGCCCAGCCACCCGTCGCCCCTCGCCCTCGACCCGCGCCGCGCCGCGCCGCGCCACCTCGCTCGCCGAAGTCAAGCCAGTCTTCCCAGGGAGCAAAGGCGGCTTTTCATTTCTGCGTCGCTGACACTCTGACCTTCCGCGTTTATCGCAACCGGAGTGAAGAATTATGAGCATGCAACTCGTTCGTGGACACTTTTCGTAGATCTGTTAATTACTGTGAATGGCCTAATACAAGGCGCAACCTCTGGATCAAACCATATATAGCAAAATTACTATCACAATCAACCATGGTTTTTAAATTAGATATACTTATGCCGTATTTAATGTAAACTAGTGGTGATACAACAACACACACTTTTTCGCATTATTTTAAACTTTACATTTTTTGAAAAATCAGAAAGTTCAACTAAAAGTTTTTTTCCATTTTAAGCGCCTTTACTCTATTTGAGGGAAACATTTTGTGCCGTTTTTTATAAAAATTATAATTCGCATTAATTTCAAATTATGCAAAACTACATTTTTTAATGTCCATGAGCTTATTTTTCTAATTTTTAGAAAATATTTCCTTTGAAAAAATGCCATTAATATTGTACCTTATGAAAAATTGTTCATAAATAATCTTGATTCAAGATCTATCTTTGCAGATCAGATTAATTGAAAAAAAAATCTCTATCTTCAAAGTTGTCAACTAAATTTGAAATTCACTCATCAGTCAATTTTGTTTACGTGGTCTCCTACCCTTCCACCCGCAATTATTTTTACCTACTTAGAAACTCTACGGACAAACATGGGTATAAACCCGTCCCTGACCTTCCCTTATCTACCAGCTCTCTCACGTGGTATAATTATTTATTCTAAATATTGACACACATGTAATGTGATGATTTGAGTTGTGATTCAGAGTGTATGTTTTGCATGGTATTAGTAGTGCTAGTATGGGTAAGCCTAGTGGTCTTCGGTTCAATAACTGACTACCATGGTGTAAAACACTGAAGCGCTTACTCCCTAGCGCAGTTACTGCGAAAGAGATTATTGAACAATTTTGAAAATCACATGGATAAATGCAAAAACAAAATTAAATATAAAAATTATTTTTAATTTATCTTTATGAACATTTTCAGTCTTATAAATTGTGTGTCTGTATAATACTCTTATTTTAAATACCACTTCACTTCCACAAACGATGACTGAACCGTTCTTCTGAACTACGTAAATTCTAGATTTGACATATTACACCTATACAATTTTACATTGTGGTGTCACCCCAGTTTTTGAACTACCGTGATTCCGATCTTTCCAAAATATGACATACTGTAGATTTTTAACATGTTCAGTTAAGAAAAAAGTACATTTCTAGCGATATTGCGTAGGTACTATTCCCTTTACTACTCAGCTTCTCATTTTTCGTGCGTATCTTTCCTCTGACAGATAATGCTGCAATTACTCTGCTCTGTGACTTCTCATTTGAAAAAGCTGAGATTTTGGTTCTTGTAAGAGTTTCTTACTAAAGATGTCGCTCTCTTGTTCGTTATCTTGCTTCTGAGGAACCCCACGCCAGGACGTAAAGATGCTCTCTTCTTAATTACGAATGAGAAGGAAGGAAGTTTCCTCTATTTTAAGACGAGCTTTTTTCTTCTTTGTTTCAATTTCGTGTGGAAAAAACTATCAAAAGTAGGTGAAAAACAAAATGTCCGATTATTTAGAAGAATACGGAACATTTTCATGTGATGATGCTCTACAAATTTCTTGCTTGGAAATTAAACGGAGGAATAAGAGGCTTTGGAAGTTCGCTATTACTGTTTCAAGATTGCAAAATGTGTTTTAGGACGTTAATTTGTTGGTATATCACTTGTTTGCAAATGTGAATGAGCTACACTTGCTATAATTACTATCGCTACGTCTAAGCCAATACTTCACACCAACACTTCACTACGTATTCCGTTAAGTCCGAATTACATCCACTGCATTGGGAATGTTTTATCATCAAAACTATGAAAAATGAAGACACAGATCCCAGACACACCAATATGATTGATTATTTCAAACCATTTATTTCCACATCTATATGTTCGTTTATTTAAGTGTATTTGCTTACTTAGCAATGATAACTATGTATGCGATATCCATTGTACTTGGCAGAACGAACATTTTGCATATCTTAGTGATTTAAAGATTAATTTTTCTTTTATTTCAGATTAATACAATTTATGTACACTGTAATTCTTGAGTCTATCTCATTAGACAAATAACGACTACATTCTACTAAATAGTTGGTAGACCAATGAAAGACGTTCGATTAGAGAATTCATGCTTTCATGTATTCGTCTTAAACTCTTCGTCTTAAGATTGCCTAACGGTAAACGAGAATACAAAGAGCTTAATATGAGAATTCTCTCACTCGGGTTTTAATGTCTAATCTGTGGTTAAAGTTCACATAGTCACACGCACACTATCAATTCAATCATTTTGTCTTCATAAAGAACGTACATTATGAGAGTATTTCATGGTAAAATGTAAAAAAGGAAGAAAATATTTCCTCATGCAGCAAATGTTTCATTAATTTTGTGCTTTTTTTCAGCCTTTACTTCCAGTCGTGTATAAAATTACTACATTATTTTACTTTATTCCATTTTTATTGTTTTCTTAATTTTATTCGCTTGCCTCTTTTTTATTTTTGTCGACCCTCATTCTTTTCTCACAACCTCTCTCCACTTTTATTTTCCCTCTAAAAGAGCTTTACCCCTCACCCAGCCCCTGTGGCTCCATCACAGACACTAGTGGGCCCTCACTAGAAATAATTTTCCGCCTTGGCTGGTTTTTGCCAGCCATTGGCTTCTGCTGTATATTGTTAGCGATGACTGAACCACTTCGAAGGATTATATCAGGTCATTTTCTTTTCTTTTTATCGAGATAGTTCATTGGCTTATGATGACGCTTTGACTACTTCTGTTGGATGAGGGAGAAGACTGTTCCGGGGTGATTCATGGGCTCTCCGAGAGATGCTACGACCTAGATATATTTGCCAAAGTTTCGGACGTAAGATCACCTTTTGCAGGTCAAAATGATCCGATTACTCTGACAGCGAAGAATGTATTGATTCCGGCTGCCGAAGTCTCCGGATTAATGACAAGTAGTAGTTGGGAAAGCCTCATTTTGCCACAACAGAAAAGCAGACATTCATGCCCGAGGCGAGATTGGAACTCGCGACCACTCGAGCCGAGGAGGGAACGGAGCACCAGTCTCAACTATCTCGGCTACCGGGGTCGGTTTTTTTGTTTATTTCTATTATTACCCAGGTGTGCCAAGCAAGGAGGAGGGATATATTTTTCTCGATGATCTATCTTGGTCCACCACCTCTAGTCTGTCTGATTCGAATAATATTATTATATGAGTTATTTGTCTTGACACCGTGAATATTGTAGGCGTTAATAAAGTACAATATGGCGAACAATAGACAATACTTTTGTCATTTTTGTGTTCAAAAGGTTTGACAAACTCTCTTATGTGGGGATTCATCTGTATATAAATTCGTCTTTATCTCATGCGCGTGATGTGCTATATAAAGAAACTAAATAGTAATAGTAGAACGGGCAGTAGTCTCCATTTTGTTGATTACCTGTTCAATCCTATCAGTTTATTAACCGTAGAAGGTGGTGCCGGGCGAGCGTTTTAAATCGGTATTTATGCCCCAATGACGTTATAAAGGTTCAAATAATTGCGCGGAGACAAAAGCCGGAGGGCCTTTGACCCAAGAGATTTTTGTCGCCAGAGATCATTAAAACGAGATAATGCACGAAGTACACACAATATTTTATTTTTTACTTAACTTTAATGATTCAAATATACCTAATTTCTAATTAACTAGTTGTGAACTTGACTCGTATTGTGTTTCCATATTCCCCCACAACCATGATCAACTTCATCCAGGTAAGTTACGCAGTGTGAATGGAAACTGCATATCAAGACAATAACCTAACGTATCAGTAAGGAAAACGTTTTCTGCCTGTGTACTGAGCGGGCGTGTGTGTGTGTTGCAGGGGAGCGCGTGTGCGTGCGGTGCGAGACGCAGGCGCTGCGCAAGGCGCTGGGCTACCGCTGCCCGGGCCACGGCGTCGAGGACCGCGCCACGCGCTGGACGGCGGTGGCGCGGACGCAGGCAAGTGGACGGCTGGGGCGATCGAGCTGGTCGGAGCGGGCGGCGCGTCCTTCGGCCCCGGCGCCTCGGTCGCGCGCCGCGCGCAGGCCCGCAGGCGCCCGCCCCGCTCTGCCGGCATGCAAGAAGGGGCCCGACTTCATCTTGTGTGAGCGCCCCGCCCGGCCCAGCCCGACGAAGCCCAGCCCGCCGGCGCCGGACCCGCACGCGGCAACGGGCGACTCTCGCGCTGAGAGATCGCTCACAGCCGCCCTCCCCTCCCCAACCCACTCGCCACACTTCTCTCCAGTGCAGGTCCGAAACATGGAAATTCAAGTTGGCCTTTCTTCCCTCTCTTTTTTAAACGACGTTTTATAAATAAACTCGGTAGCATGTTTTCGATATTTGGAAAAAAGTACATATCGATATCCGAAGTCAGTTAATTGCTCTAACAGATTTTATGTTTATCATTTTTTATTAATGATTAACTTACTGATGTTCGGTACTGTCTGGGAGTTTGAATAATTCTGGATTGTATAGGAGATGGAAAGAATGTGAAAACAATTGAATTTCCAGTCCGTAACTTTGCTACTCTCATTTTATTCAGGCATCATCAGGTTTTAAATATTTTTAGGGGAGATTATTACATCTTATTCTCATAGAACAATTCATATGCAAAATTCTGTTGCAGTTCGCACAAGAACTATTAATGTAGAAAATTTACGAAAGTCTCTTGTCATTGTAAACGTAATTAGTACGTCTACCATGTTATTAACATAAAAGAGGATCAGTCATGTCATTACATCTCTTACGGAACAATCGGTTCGGATCTCCACGGAGTGTCCCTTCGCCCCCGTAGCTCACTATTGCCTAGACCTGCGCCTGCGCGCTACGCTCGAGACTGAATTCCTCACTGCGAACGCGTCGCCGCGGCGCTGCCTACGACTGCGTTTCTGGCGGAAAGCAGCCCTCCGCACCCTTTGGAGCCTTGTGGGACCCCCGCGGTCCAGGAGTGCTCGCTCAATGCTCTTGGTCGTTGAAACGAACCTTTATCAATTTGGTTTTGGGCACGGAAGCAATGGAATCGAAGTGAGTTTTAGAACAAGATGAAATGCAAATTGTTCAAAGCCGGCAATTATGTGGATCTACAATATTTAGGGATCAGTATGTTTCTGAAAAGAAAATGTAAAACTGACCACCAAATATGTGTTTTTTCTTTGTTATAAATATTCTGCATCTAGTGCAGCAGTGTTTGTTGCCAAAATTATTTGTAGTTTCTTTAAATATTATCAAAAATATGACTATTTATAATTGACAAATTAATATATCTTTGCGTCAATGGGTTAATGGTTGCTTTCCAGTAACCTTGGAGATGATCTTTATTAGATTTCCAGATAAGCTACAATCAAAGCATTGAGCGATAATTTTAACACTTTCCGTTATCGAAAAGTTACTAGAGATTGCTGTATGATCAACTTGAGAAGAGTAAATTATTGTCATCTCGTCTTCCCAGCGGACTTATTTTGCGCCAGAAACGCTGTTGTTAAACAGCACGTGTTACAAAAACATAGAATGGTATCACGACTTTTTTGAAAATTTTAAGTTAGAAATTACTTTTTTTTACTTGTGGTTTCGTTGTTGTGAGATAGCACTAAGCTCTCTCAAACGCCGCATGTTTGTGCAAGGACACGAAACAAGAGTAGTAAATAAAATTTGACTGCCGTTTGAAAATGATCTCAAAGGCAAAATAAGACTTGACGCATAAAAAGAAATGAGTATTGAATCAGGATAGATATTACTAAGAATCAGGGTCCAAAGTCCTGTGCCGGAGACAATTCGGGGAGAATAGTAAGAGAATGCACCGAATACTCCTTCAAGATGGAAACCAATACTCATAGCACACATGGCCAGATAGAAATCACGATATAAATCATGTCATTTACATACATTTTATAAACTTAAGTTGCATTTATATGTAGAATCATTTCTTGTTAAGAAGGAATGAGATTCAATACATTCGATAGCTTTTGTTGAAATAATGTCTTATTATTTCTTTTGTAAATACATGCAAGTAAATATATAGTTTAGAATATAGAGAAAATAATTGTACTGTACCCTTAAAGTTATTTTTTATCTAGATGAAAAATGTAGTTATTGCCAAAATTTGCAACGCCCCATGGCCATTAAAATCTATAAACGTTTGGAAATATATTAATATATGCTGAATGTTACTTGTTAGCAAAAGTAGTGATTTTGATTATATTATATTGTTTAAACATGACCGACGTTAATTAGTCATTTCAGAGTATTCATATTTAATTATTACATACGTTTTGTATTTCAGAGTATAAGTGATAAAAATAAGAATTTGTATCATACTAACGTAAAGCTCTTTGAACTAAAAGCATCAGTTGATTGATATTTTGATGTGTTAAATCTGATTTTATAATTTTGTGTTGCATGTGTCGATAATGTATGGGGAAATTCATGTCGACAAAAAGATGTAATATATAAACTTACTGAAAAAATATGTAGTCAAATGAAAAGACACTGAACTCAGCCTCACTGCAGGTCAAGCAGACAATGTTAGAAAAAAGAATTGCTACTATTCTAGAAAATCTCAATAATATTCAATGTATTTTTTAATATGACTACCATTTTGAACTCGGGGACAATAGAAAGGGAGGGAAGGTATAATGATATTTTAAACAAATGAAAGGTACTAGTAACACATCTAGGTTCAGTTTTAAATATACAGATAATCTACATGTAAGTAGATACTAACTATTGTGAATGTAATGATTCGCAATCATTAATTTTTTAACTTTTGTGCATTTTCAAATGAGCTCAGTGTGTTTAAATGAATGTATTTAAATGAAGATTAATTTTAGTTGTATCCTTTAGTGTTAATAAAAAAAGTATCTATATCGCCAATGATTCGCATATTCTGTAGAACTACAAGAAACCACCTTGTTGCATATCACATTTATTTTTAAATTGACACAAATCCAATACGTGACAGAGCTAAAAGTTCTGTATTTTAATAACCAATAAAATATTACCTTTAAAATTCATTTCTTCTTTTGCAAAATCGTGCCCTTCATGTTCTCACGATTCCTTTCCCCTTTTCCTAATTAATAAATTCCCAGAGAGACTTGTTAGTACCGAATTTCTGAAAAACGTCCACGAATGACAAAGGGCTTATGTCTCTGGGGAATGCCGCTCTAATTGCATGCAGAGAGACCAGAGGCTTTCCTTGAGTCGGGCGATCTCTCCAGCAATGCACTTTCACGTCTCTAAAACTTAACGAACTCAGGATTTAAAAGAGAATACATAAAACAACCACCTTACATAGTTCCCATCGGGCTCGTTAATTGAATATCACGGCTTTATGAGAAATGCCAGAGAATCATATTTCACTCGAAGAATTAACACAGCTGCGGCGCGCTGCAGAAGTCATGTAATTTTGACTTGAGCTATAAATTCTATTTTAGCACCGTCGTACCTTTCCAGAGGGACATTATGTTGGATGGTGTACAGCAGCGTTTCTTTTCAAGTTCTTTAAAAATGGTCTTGTTGGTTTGAAAAAAGATACTACTTATTTGAAACCGTTTTTTGTGAGATTTAATTACAGGTAACTACAAAGAACGATATGGTATGAAACAGTGATCACCATCTCTAGACAATCGTGGAGTTCCCCGTAATTATCCTACCTAAGGCAGGTCCATGTATTCTTTTCAGAGAGTAAGATAGATAGTAAGTTATTGACGTTAAAAACGTTGACTTTCTATTTGTTCACAGCAAGCAGTCAAATTGGCGTCCTTTACATAATAACGGATCTTGTGGTGGAGCTTATGCAAATGATAAATGAACTTTAGCACTACTTTGGATGATTTTGAAGTAATTCAAGTAGTATTAATTATATTGTGATTGTCATTCTCTAAGTTTAATTACTTGTATGAAACGGTCAAATTTCAGTTGTTGACGATTCTGATACTACGTGATTTATTACATGAAAACGCATTACTGGACGCAATATCAATTTCATCTAAAGACATGTCCTCATATTAAAACCATTTTAAACACTTTAAAAATCTACACAATGTCCTACATCGTACTGAATGCAATACAACTGAATACAATATATGTTTCATCTAAAGACATGATCACACATTAAAACTATTTTAAACAATTTAAAAACTACACAATGTTCCACGTCGTAAAATTATTCAATCTTTTGTTTTCACAAAAGCTACCATCAATATTCAAGATAACGTTGCAGGATATTTCTGGATGCTCTTGGACACGCTGCTGACGACACGTTCTCGACGGAAACGGCGATCCAGAGGTGGCCTGCCCGCATTCCTCGGGAAAATTGTAAGATACGTCTTTTGGAAAATGAATTGAGATTAACACAACGTCTCAAATTACAAAAATTGAAAAAGTTACACTTAGTGTTTAATTTCCTTGCTTTAGAAATTTAAAAGTATAATTTAGTAGTAGTATTTTCACAGATGAGTTTTATCTGTAATATAAAATAAAAATATAATAGAAAACAAAATGTATAAACACGACTATATACAAATTATCGTCATGAAGCAAGAGAAGATTAATAATTTTTATTTGCACCGATGACAAGTTAAAAGGTGAACATGTGGATGTTGACTCAATATCGCTTGTTACGAAAAACAGTGTTGAGTTATTAAAGAGTCTTTACAGTGATTGCAAAATCCATATCGTACGTCTTGCAACGTAACGGATGGGAATGCCACTAATAATAATAATAATAAAATAATAATAATCCAATAAATAATCCAATAAAAGGATTTCTCAGAGTGCAGAAAACCTGTAAACGTAATTCCTTCAGGTTTTCTACGGAATTACTCGTAAATGCAGCCGCACTACATGTGCCATCCAAGCAACAGGCAAAAACCATTAGAACCCTGTGTGTTCCATCAAAGACGTCATCTCCAAAATTGCTACAATAGTGGATGACAACAAAATCAGGTTCGTATCCAAAATTTCAAACAATAGAATTTGTTCATTTGTATCTTTAAACATTGTCGAAAAATTCTGTGACAAACATAAAACTATCTTGATTAAGGCGTGTGAATTAGGTGTAAAGGCATTAATCAGTAGACATTAAAGAATCATCATGCGAGTACAATTTTCCCCGACGTATCTACTAGAAGAATAATTATCATTAAGAACTCCACGTCTAATAAAATATCAATCATAAAAAACAAAATTTCAAGGGTTTTCCTTGCATAGATTTTGGAATGTTTTAGCTGAACTGAAAGTTTAATATACTTCCAGAATTAGTTTTGATATATTTCGTATTAGGGCAGAGATCAATGAAAACGTAATGCAAAATTAAAAATGTGAACAAGTTCTTGTAAACTTTATATAAAATTAATAGTTACCAATGACGCAGCCGCAGATAATATCACAAATAAAAACTAACGGTAAATAAATTTTTTAAAAAATATATATTTTTTCGTAAAATCTGACCAATATGAATGCAAATCATTCTTCTATTACGTATAATTTTTCTTTGTTCAAATTGGCTTTATTTTACTATTAAAAAAAGATTGCAATATTAACCGAGAAAAACTGAAATATTTATTTAAGAAGGTATTTTTGTCTATGCTAGCTTGGCACTACTGATCCAGGTATAGTGAACGGCTGCAGTTGTAAACGTAATCTTGGCCAGTGAAGTTCTTATCGGCGCTTATCGGAGTTTTATTTCGTTGTGGCTAGTAAATTTTGTGAATTAGTTAGAACAAGGTGTTTAATGAATTGACGCGAGTGAAAGTGAACGTGAAATGTAATTCAATGTCGAAGAAAATTACTTTCTGAGGCAATAACATTTGGTGCTTTAGCAAATAGTTCTACAACGATCTTTATAGGCCACGAACGTGATAATGAAATTCTTAAATAATATTTCTAAAAAGTGTGATGTGCATAATGCCTGTCGTATTATTTTCGAGTGAAATGTTTACTTCTCTCAGATGAACAGATTACTGAGCTAGAAGACTGTCGCTTTCATCAACATTGTGAAATTTGCACCTGTATAGTCTCAACGCTTTCCAACCAATTTCACTCTCCGTTTCACTGAAAAAGAAGTTAGATCAAGTAAGTAAAACGCATGGTATATTATATTCCACTATTTTGTTCTGTAATTTTTGAAAACTTTATTTAGTACGAAAAATATATCGGACATGTTACTGAAGTTGTGTAAACACATAAACACAGTACTCTTGGTGTCGGACGCTTGAACTACTATTATAAGCATGTAGGTTATCTTCTAAAATGTGCCCAAGACGAAATTTGAAGAGCTTTTAACTTTTCGAAAAAGCATTGTGAATGTAAATTCTCTGGTCGTAATTTCTTATTACAATATAAATGAAACAAATGTTTTTTTAATCAGGTTAGTTAATCCCCCTCAGATATTTTCCAAACTGGTCGAGAACTTCAGAGCAAATTTTCATCAAACTATTCAGGACATAGGAACTTATCAGTTGCACTTATGGTAGAGAACATTGTTCATCTTAAGGAAGTATTTTAACATCGGCATTTGCGTCACTCATGCTGAGGGGAATCCATGATGGAGAGGTCGACGTGTAGGAAGGGGAATTATGAGGGGAATCTTTCGTTAGGCAGGCGTAGTGAGATATGTTCATAACATCTGATGTGGGTGGTATCGTTGGCAAGGCTGCCGCGCACACGGTTACAAATGGCTCGTATTAAGTTGTCTAGTTTATATTGTGAACTCTAAACGACAATCGACTCCGCTGTGCGCAAGCGTAAATGAGGCGATTAAAAATCGCGAAGGAAATTTTATGCATGCCGACAATGAATGACGTAGAGAGACCAGATCCGAGTTCTATGTCCTGAAGCGCGTAGTTTCTGAGGAGAGATGAAGCAGAAACTCTTAAAAGTTCGCGACGCATTTGAGACACCATAATGATTTAAAGCGAATTGACGTATACATATTAAAAAAAGGAAAACAAATAGTCAATGCCTGCATTAAAGATGTTGCAAATCGGTTAAATATGTCATTTCTCAGGAGTAGGTTGATTTTCACGGTGAAGAGAAAGGTATTTATGTATGCTGCGTCATGGAAAGCCACTGAATCTGTTCCAAGCTGCAACAACGGGCTCGCCGTGCGAATAGACGCATTGTGATTTTATTTTTAAAAAAAGGGTCGTAATGTTTACTGTCCGGTGTATTTCGTAAAACTTACACATTATATAAGTCCGTTCCTCTTGGAAATTGAAGATTTTGTAATCTGTCTGACGAACCACGCTACTAATGATAATACACAAGTGATTTTCTTCTCTTGTCTATTCTTCTAACTATTGATTCCCTTAAACGAAATGTGAACTCAGTACCTGGAATGTTTGTAACTTTTAAGGAAATTTGCCAGGAATTTGAAGGAAAACTCAACCGATGTGGTCGCCAAGGCCACTCGCAACACTGCCCTTCGCCTTGTAGCTTAGGAGTTCACTGAGCTGCCCGGCACCACATCATGAACTCGAGAATCTGCTTTTCGAACAACTCCGGATTTCATACACTTTTGTGCTGTTAATTATGCACCAAATATCAACATATGTAGCATTAATAAATGTGTCTTCTCAAGACCTATCCATTTGTATAAAAATGGAAAGTGTTCCATTTAAAAAATGGAAGTTAGTGTAATATCTATAAAATAAAATAAAAGTACTATCACAAAGGCAATAAATACAACTGACGAGCTCCTATATTTTTACATATTAATATCATTCGTATCAACTGTACGAATTACAAACTCAACGTATTTTAGTTTTATAATTTAGTGGTTTATTAGGCATCTGCATTACAAAAGTGTACCTGCCACGGAAGCTTACACGTTTTTCGTCTGCAGTGGATTGTACACATTTTGACCGAGCAGAGACACCTTACACTATGTACATTTCTGTTCGCAGCCTTCGTCCTTGCGTTCCCATCGCAGTAAAACGAGGTCATTGTATGGTTTTACAATTTGAAATGTTCTTAGGCGACGGAAAAAATGGATCATTTTGCAAGTTTACGCTCAGAGACATTGCACGATTTACACAGGATAGACGACTTGTACGTTGGTCACAGCAAATACCTTCGAAACGGTTTGAGACAGAGAGATACGGTTAGCGACCAGATAATACAGTTGAGGGGGAGTAACGTCTTTTGTTTCGTTATTTGTAATATTTGAAATTTTTGAGTCATTGCTTCAAATTTTATTTCCGAATGCAAGAATGTAATTTTTCGGATCACCGAGATCGTTAAGGCAGTAGTGCCGTAGCGATCTCAGGCCTCAGGCATGGTTTATATTTGTGTTCGTCCTTTCACCGCCTATCATCACCATATCATGGCATCTTCACAGTAACCATAACATTAAATCCAATAGTGGTCGCTAATGACCTAGATGTTGATGCGATCTTAAATAACAAAAAAAATCTACTGTCATTCTAAAGCTCTTTAAGGGTATAATTCAATAATATACTTGTCATTAATATTCGGTAAGAAAATGTAGAAAATGCTTTCATTTTCTCTACGCCATGTCTTTCGCGCCTTGTCATGCCCGTTTCCCGGAAGGCGGAAAGAGTGTGTCCTTCATTTCTTTCCCGTTCTCTAGACAGAAATCAAAACTAACTTTGTATTTTCAACATATTTATTCATAGACTTACTTGTTTTGTCTCTTCTACTGACCAACGTATTAGTCAACTCTTTTCTTATTATGATAAATAAAGATATTGTCTGGTATCAATACTTTTTATTCAGCTTATGATCGTTTCGATCGCGTAGCGATCATCCTCAGAGCTAAAATGTGAAACAGAAATATTGATACCAGACAATATCTTTATTTATTTATCATAATAAAAATGTATCTACCTCACCAGCGATCCAATTAATAATCTTTTCTTATTTTTTGGAGTTGAAACCAAAACCAAAACCAATTCTCTCTTTAACGTGGATAGCAAGATAATACAATGCGCGATCCACTTTCTAAATGGAACACATTTGTGTTGGAAAGCAAATTTCGCCTTTTGCTCATTAACGTTGGCGCGTTCTTATATTCGTGACATTTTCTCTTTTGTTGGTGCAAAGGACGTCTGACCTTGCCACGGTAAACGATTTAATTTTGTACCTTTGTCTGACGTCACTCGTAACTGCCCACAGCAGAGCAAAGTGCGCAAGGTCGAGAATGTGCACGGGAGAATTATGATTAATTAAACTTATTTATCGACCAAAAATTAATTTAATACGTAATATATTTGTTATTGGAAATTGATTATTGTTCCTTGTAGCATGATCCAGGAAGTGAAAAAATCGCCATTGTCATTTTAAAGGCTTAGTAA